TTCATCAACTATGTCTTTGTATTTGTACCAAAAATATATTTTAAATTCTAAAATAATATAGAATGACATATCAACAACCAAAGTCAAGATTTTTAATGAGATAATAATGCAAAATCTCCAGTGAGTATGAAAACATCTAATACAAAACTATGGTAACAGAATTATTACTCTTAATTGTACAGCATGAAAAGGAACCATAGTTAAATCATGTGATTTATAATTCATAATGTATTGGTAGGATTCACTAGGCAGTACTCTTTTCATACTCGCCTATCGGGGAATATATGCACTTGTACTTTATTGAAAAAGCAAACTTTTCGTGTTTTAGAAAGTTGGTCTTGAAAAAATATATCTATTTATATAGGAATAGCTAGAATTCTCAAAGGAGATCTTCAATCCTCTGTGCGTGTAGGTGGAAAATGCAATGTTTAAAATGAAAGGAGACATTAGCAAAGCAGGTAGGAGGACTGAGTGAAATGTTGTAGGCAGCAGCAAAAGCACAGCAGTAGGTTAGAGAGAAATTTGACCTTGCTGTGGGCGGTGAGGAGAAGACAGTGAGAAATGTGCCCCAGGAATAAAAATGCGCGCTACTCGGAAGAGAACTGAAGTTTACAAGACCTTTTACTGGAAGGCCGGGAAAGCAGAATGCATCGTCAAACAGCACTGGGATTTGTTGGTAGCTTAGTAAGGAACGCTGCACATCCAGTTCCCTCATAGCAAGCAAGAGGGATGTGTTCTCTATTGGAGTTTAGGACGCTTTGCTTATGGACACGTCTTGCTCAACAGGCACTTTGCAGAACGCAAGATTACTGGAGAAGGAAAACCACACTATCAAATTACCCGTATTCATTCTATTATGTTTTCTTAAATATCCTTCTTGATTCTAATCAGAACCAGAGGAGTGGGTGACATAAGACACATTTAAATTAGATAGTCTTGTGTCCTGTTCTGGATTCCCCAGTTACCTGCTGTGTAATGTTATACAAGTTCCTAACCTCTTCACATCTCAGATTTTGCTAGAGGAAAAAGAGTTAATTAACAGTATAACATCAGGTCCAACACATTGATTATAAACCACCAATAAGCATTTTGGTACAATTACTGCTTTTGTTGCTGCTGTTGACATTGCTTTTATTATGTATCAAAGCTGAATCTTTTTTGTTTGATGTGCTAGAAGCTTATCGCTTCATTATTTCTGTGCATGTGTCAGGAAACTAAAATCAATAATATAAAGGTTGAAATTAAAAAATTTAGAAATAGAATATTACTAAGTATACAGTGGTTCAGGAATACAAAATAGTAGCTAAGAAATTTTAGATTATCTGAATACTCCCTAACGTTAATCAGATCCTGGTAGTTTCTTTTTTTTTGTTTTGTTTTGTTTTTTTTCCGATACCGGCAATCGAACTCAAGATCTTGTGGTTGCCAGGCAAGTGCTGTGCCGCTGAGCTAAATCCCCAGCCCCAGATCCTGGTAGTTTCTTGTTGACCTCTATTATGCTTCTAACATGACTCTTAGACATATGTGTATAGAAAACAGGTTTCTTCTCTAGGCCTCCAATGAGTACATATGATTTCAAACAAGTAACTTCATTTTTTAAAGGATATCTACATGGAAATGTAAAACTAAAATGCAACAGTCAAACAAGCACTCCCATTTCCGTGACGTGCCCTGCTACTCAGAGAAGATGAAAGAAAAAATGTCTCTCTAATGCCCAATTAGTTGGTCATCAGGCATTCAGTATTTCGTCTACATTGATATGTGTTTTATACAAGTAACTACTTTTTCTCAGATTACTTGAGAAGGGTTTGGGATCACTAATTGTTTCACCTAAACTTGGCAGTTGAAGTGAAATTATTATTAGTATTTTGGAAACAGTTTATTTGTATGAATAATTTTTTTATAATTCACCATGTCCCAAAAATGTAGTCTATAATCAAGTAGAAATCAAACTATTTTACTGAGGTTACACTGATATTGTTCTTTTCTTCAAGATTATTAAAACTCTTGTTTGCATGTAAGATCAATATTGAGCTGTATTCATATAACGTGTACTTTTCTCTTTGCATGTGACTTAAAAACCAGATGAAATTAAAAATAGTGTAGGTTTTCATTTTAAAGACAATAATAATAAAAACATACCAAAGTACCAACAACATAGACAAAAACAAAATAAAGCAAAAACAATAAAAATGATACAGGTTTTCAGAACAAAATGATAGGACTTATCAGTGGTTGTATATTATATAGTGTTATCTTCAGTGAGGTTGCTCAGATTACCAGATGTAAGAATGCAATATTGATCAAACCACTAAAGAAAATAAAAAATAAAAACAAAAAAATTGAGAAATGATACAGAGTTTTGGGGGCTGGGGATTTAGCTCAGCATCACAGCGCCTGCCTGGCAAGTGCAAGGTCGTGAGTTCGATTCCTGATACCGGGGAAAAAAACCAATGACACAGAGTTTCAATGGACAAGATAGTATGAATTCACCAATGATTGCTATGTTGTATATTGTTGCATGTTTTTATATGTCTTCCATGGAAACACCCACCAGTGTAACTTTCATTGGTGCCTGTAGAAAAACTGGATTACCCAGATGTCTAACTGTGCTCAAAAGTTCAAAATACAGTGATCATACATTTTTGTTATCTAAACTAGAACTCACTGACTTCTTTAACAAAATTGACACCTTCAGAGGATTGTATTATGTAAAAAGATCATAGTAAATTTTGAAAAGTTCTAAAGTTTTACTTTTTGAATCTTAAATTCAGTGTATAAATATTTTAGGTTATGAGTTTGCGTGTGTTCTTTTTTTTTTTAGTTCACTAACTTTTTAAATATTTTGACAAAATACAATTAATGAGAGAATGACCCTAGTTTTGTTTAATGTGCTTTGCCAAACATAAGTGCTGTGAAATTGTAGGGTTTCTTAATTTCTTTTTTTTTTTTTCAGGGCTGGGATTTGAACCCAGGGCTTTGCGCATGCAAGGCAGTTGCTCTATCACTGAGCTACCTCCTCAGCCCCTTAATTTCATTTCTTTATCTGACAGAATCTAAGCTTATCAAATGAAAACTAGGAATGGAATCTAAAGAGACTCCTATCAATGCAAATAGTTTACACTGTATTTACAAAATTGTACCCTAAAATCTGTAATCTCTTACTGTCTAATTTGGTTAGTTCCTCTCCTGCCTTTGTGGGGATAAATTTTAATGTTTTCCTGCTTACATTTCTTATTTTAATGAGAACTTTGATTTAATAAAAGTTCTAAAGTCATTTGATGATCTATTTGTTAGATACTTTTGTTAAGGATTTCAATAATTTTAAATACAAAATACAAAGGAATTTGGGAGTTTATATGCAATGTAGTAAAAGCAATTATATATGTAAGTTGATTTGGAACAGAGAATTCAAACGTTCACATGTTTAAATTAATTGATAAAAGGAAGCTAAGTCAGGAAACGCAATGGGATTCTGACGTATGCTTTTATATTTAACATCAGCTTCATAACAAAAGGTTCACTACATATGTAAATATAGTTGTGTATTTTGACACTTCACATTCTATTTCTCTTAATTTAATATGGTAGCCAGTTTCTGCACAATTAGTGGTTAGGTTTCATGAAAACCAATTCCAAGTATTTTTGCATTTTTTAGATGTTTTTTAGTTAGTAAGGTTCTACTTTTGTCTTTACATTATATTTTACTAAAACTGTATTTCTATTATCCCCTCAAAAAGTATCTTCAAATTTGAACATTGATTGTACATTATTTTCTTATTCTCTTTAATGGTTTGATCAATCTTCCATTCTTACATCTGGTAATCTGAGCAACTTCGTTGAAGATAACATATGTAATATAGCAACCACTGTTAATTCCTATCATTTGGTTTGAAACCTCACATCATTTTTAATGTCTTTGCTTTGTTTTGTTTATATTTTGCTGATGTTCTCTGTTTTTACTATTCACTTTAAAATAAAGAAAGAAAGAAAGAAAAAGTAATAATATCAGATATTTCACCTTTAACCTAATAAATTTCCTAAAACCCTGTGTAAATTGCAGAAAGTAAATAAAACATACAATATTTATTAGAATTGTAATGTTTTCTTTGTTACTCTAATTGAAGTAGGTGATGAAACTAACAAGACATTTGTATTACTTAAGTATTCATGAAATTAATCTATTAATAAAACAGCTTTTTTCCTTTTTCATATATGCACAACAAAACTAGTAATTGAAAGCAAGCAATTTAATCTAAATGCAAAGTCAATTTTACAAAGTAAATTGTAAGTGTATATGCAAAAATTGTCTGGGTTCTTAAAATAGCCTCCAACTTCTGAAATAGATGCTGAGATTTGTAGTGATTTCCGATCTTTGTGTCTCGGTATTATCAGGAAGCTACTATAAATATGGTAAATATAAACAAACATTCTGTGAATGTTACATGTTAACAACAGCCTAGACAAATGAAGACAGATCTGTCACCAGATATTGACTTTTGTGCAATTCACATTCATTCCTGCCAAAAATTTTACTGTAAAATAAGTGTCCCCAAACCAAAGACAAAATTAGAAATATATGTAAATTAATAGTGGTTATCACTAGAATAAGAACACCAAGATGTTTCTGTATATGCTCTTGGGTAGGACTGCTCAGCCTCTATTCCTCATATATATTTTATTTAAAAACTTGGGTATATAATTTTATGTATTTCCCATTGCCTACATTCTCTTGAAACCACTTCTAAGGTTTTGATGCAGTCTATTTTCAAGGTTTAGGTGCTGAAATCTTGATCCTTACTGTAACAAAAACCAGGAGGTGTTGGAATCTTAAGGAGATAGATCCTAGTGGTAAGTCCCTAAATCACTTAGGGTTTGCCCCAGGAGGTGATTAACATAACCCTCAAGGGACTCTAGAAGTAGTGGCTTCTGTCCACAAAGTAACCTCTTGCTGTCCTGCTTCTGCCATTGTGATGTCATCTTCCACAAGGTAACACAGTCGAGGAGGCTGAGCAAAGCCTGTGCACTGCTGCTTAAACTTGTGGACTGGAAAACATGGAGCTAAATAGTTCTCATTTCTTTGTAAGTACTCAGCGTCAGGTATCATTAGAGCAATAAAAAATAGACTAACATGCCTGCTCACAAAGTCTATCTCAAAGTAGTTTGATACCTTGCAAGAGCAGCAGCACCAAGAATCTCAATCTTAGCTGTACTGGAACAAGTAAGTTAGTTGGGTCTAGTGGATTCTGAGTGCACCTCATTGGTTAATAGTATGCACACTGTCCTTGAAAGGGAGATCTTCGTTATGTTATACTGTTTTAGAAAATAGTTTACCTCTGGTTGTCTTTCAGATTTATCTAGTTATATAAGAACATTACTCAGTGTCCATGTATCACTATATCACTACATCAGACCAGGAACAAAGGTTAGGTGTAAAAAATGTTGTTCTACAACAACTTACCTTGACTTACTTGAACAAGACATCTTGTCTCTCATTTTAGTACAATTACTATTAATATTCTATTGAAAAGATTTAGAGACAGATGCTAAAGCAGGGCAACCACCAATCTGTAGAATTTTAGGTGGATGGTAGTGTAATTAGTCGGCTACAGAGCTTACCCTCTTCCTCATCCCCATTTGTGGATAGATACTATGCTGCTATATTCTGCTGAAATTGACAGCAAACTAATATTTTTCTTCTGTGTGATGCCTAATTAATCAGATTACACTGGTAAGTGGTAATTGAATAATTTGGGGGCGTGAGTTCTCCACTTTGAGATCGAATACATGGTGTTTGATTTTATACATGGGGAATTCTGGAATTCCATATATACCTTGAATCCTTAATACATTCGATTTGTAGGATTTATATAGCAGTCACCTTCTGCTATCTGCTTTATTTATATAACCATAAATGATTGTCTTCTAAAAATTGGTTTAACTATTCAATTATATTTTTTCTCCTAGTGAACTCTAAGTTCTTTGTAATGAGAGCATTTTTTTTCTCCATAGGGGAAAACAAATTACGTTTTGGTACTCATAAAATTGCCCCCAATGTATTCCAAAATAATCAAATTTAAGCAAATTATTATCTTTTTCTTTTGCAGGAAGAACAATCCAATTACCAAAACAGACAGCTCTGAAATATAGTGAGCTAAATTTACACTTTCCAAAATCACAGCTTATTGCTTTCGTTTCCTCAGCCTAGTCCATTCCATACAATAAAATTTAATTTAACTGATTAAACTGAAATATATTTTACATTATCTTTTATTTTTATAACTGATTTTCATTTCATGGCTGTCACTGTGACATGACCAAATTAAACTGTGAAAACTGAGCATTTTGAATTATAGTAATGGCCATGATGTTGGCTGATTACCACATAATCATTTGGCTTGTTCAATCAAATTTAGCTATTAAGGTGGGAGACAGACTTCATAAACTCAATTAATTATTTTTTCCAATAATCAAGACAACTGATTAGCACCAATATTTTTTGAATTACAGTTGTAAAACTCACATGGGAAGATTGACATAGTCATATTCAATTTGGAAATGACTAAATTTTCTGTAGACACTGCTGGACAAGTCATCGAGCAAGGAATTGATGGGGAGCTGCAGCGGAATGGATGTGCATGTAAGCTTTCTTGGGCCAAGGTTCGGATGGTACCATCATTAACTTCTACTTCTTGCAGTTAAGTCATGCTGACACCGTGGGTCTCTGCTATACAGTGTGAGGTTGGTTCTACTTTCTGAAGCACATCTATTAACTCAGTCTGAAAGAGGAATGGATATACACCTAGAGAAACTGTTAAAGCCTCAGAGTGTTTTTTTCATTCAGTGCAATTCTTCACTGCTGGGTGAATTTCTTCTTATACTCCCATTTTATACCCTCCATTATGCGAACTGAGATAATTTGTCCTTCTTCTGTGCTGCTGCAGAATCATGAACTTACTCCAGTGACAGAAAATATGTCTTGATTAATTATGTCTTTATTTGTACATTGCCTTGAGGATAAATCTGTCTATGTCTTACTCATTTTGTGTCTCTAACAGCTATCATAGTATTCAATATTAATAAATGGGTAAGTTTGTTGAATGAATGGAATATTAAAGTTTGTAAAAATTTTGTTAAGTTCAATTTTGTTAAGTTCAAGTAAAGTAAAAAAAAAATTGGACTACATGCCAATGACAAATTTGAACGTTAATCTTTTACAGTTATAATAAAACTAGTAAATGATCTCTAAATTGTTTCTTCTTATTTCTCAGTTTTAGTTTCTTATTTGTTTTTATGTTCTGTTTTTACTGAGTATCTGTGGAAGAAAATAAATGGCTGAAAATGTTGTTATATAGGTGTAGATAGAATGGATACTTTCATAGGATATTTCAAATGAACACAAGATATTTATTATAAAAATGACAATGCTATTTTTAATTAGGAGATTTAAATGCATACATGTAATGCTTACACTGTTTGCTTCAAAATAAAATATGTTAGCAGTACACAGTAATGTACTCTGTTGCTTAATTGTTCTTGCTTTCTGAAAAATAATGTAGATGATTAGAAGGGTGTATAGAACAATAAGAATGCAAATTATTGCTGTCTTTGTAGTAATATAAAGAATGCATAAGGCATTCACTGTAAAATAACCTGAAAATATATCTACTAGGAAGCATATGGGGAGTTATGCTATGTACTTTACTATATATTTTATTTTACTCAATTATATGCTTGCTCATAATGTTTTAAAAATGTTATTTTTACAATGTATAAAAGGTGATGAGGCTTTATAATTCTTGCTTTGTCTTGAAGTACATTCTCCACAGAACAAAGGTCAAATTCACTGGCTTACCCAGTACAGGAAGTGAAAAGCAAGTTGTAAGAAAATGGTGTGGAATGTTAAGTACTTCAGAGCATGAGGCATGCCCTAAAGAAACTTCCTAACAAGGATTAGAATACAGAGAAAAGAAATGACACAATGCAAAAAAAAGCAGCTTTGATCAGAAACATTTCTGAAAGAATCTTCCCTTCCTTGATTTAATAACCTCTATTCCAGAGTTATAATGAATTCATATTCCTTTCAGAACAAATAAAGCAATTTTCTAAACAATATGTTTAATCTACACCTACTTCCTTGATCTCCAATTAACTATATAATTTCTAAAAATTTTAAAAATATCGTATTTTAGAAGAGGTCTACTTTTTCAGTTTTCTCATTATTTGAGTACATAGGATCTTGCTATCAAGTAAGATTAGGATATTTGGATGTAAATACTACATCAAAACTATCAACTCTGGTATAATTTTATCGTATAACTGTGGTATAGATTATGCAATTTATATCATTAGATTGTTTCAAAAAGTAAAGTTATTATTTCAGAGAAATATGTGGTAAAAGTCTCATTACCAAGCTAGTCTAAAATTCATAAGAAATTTAAAATCTCTATAACCATTAATTAGTCTGTAAGAGGTATGCCAAATAGACTTCAATCCTGATTACTCAACCATATCCGTGGAACACAGATAAAGACACAGGAAGGCACTTGAATTTCTATTGGAAAATCACTTCCTTTATAGAGCGAATGAAGAATGTATTCAGGAATGAATTCCTGGTTTTGAATGGCATTCCTTCAATTTTCCATTTATGTGTTCTTTAATAGATTTTTAAAATAATTTAATGTATTATCTACTTGCCAATGAGGATAAAAACCAATATACAGCAAAAATTAGTATTCATTTTCTTTTCTCTTTTCCCTTTCATATGGAAAACATTTAATGATTTACATGTATCTTGAAACATTACACAATATTATAAACTTTAGTACTGTAAATAATTTTTTAGCTCCAATTGCATAATACAGACACAGGGTAAATAAGAAACTTAGCCAAGATCACACCTACTGCAACTAGAAATAAAAGGTGCCCTAAACTTTTATTCCATTGATTGTCACTTACACTTTCTTCAGAAGTTCCATTGTCTTTGTAAAATTCTTGTTTGCATCTTCCTAGTTAAGCAATTAGTCTACTAAAAACACAGAATTAGAAATAAATGCTGTTTGAATTTTTGTCTCTTTCTCTCACTGGTTTACACATAAACCAGTTGCAATCAAAGTGTGTATTTCAGATGGTTTCTTCTCTACAACAGAGGAAAATATAGACTCTAATAAAGATTCATGAAAATTTGGTTCTGGAGCTACATGTTTATTGGCATTCACATTACTACTATAATAACTGACAAAAGTGAAAAGAACATGACAGTCAGGACTGAAATTCCAAAATCTCAATGAACTGAAAAAGAAACATTAAGGAAGTTCTTGTAGATGAGAAAGTAGAAAGTAAAGCATGAAATATTATGCAAGCAACCTAAATTTTTTGTCTTAAAATCCTAAAGACATTGACAGAACTCTGACATAAATTTTCTTTGCCTGAAATATAGGATTGAAATACTTCTCCAGAAACACTTATTTGAATATTGATTACAATGTGGGAGACTGGAGAAGATGGTCTTTTAATTCTTCATCTCCCTGAGGAATGAATTCTCTTCAGGATGGATTGTAAAGCCTGCTACATTAAAATTTGCCCATTTGTTTTTGTTAGAATCATAACAACAATTCTATTAGCCCAACTGTGAAAGATTCCATGCAGCATTCCTTTGTACAAGACTGCCTTAGTGTTTTTCCTTTTCCATAAACAAAACATTTTCTTGAAATCTAACTCCCTCTACAACATTTCTGTAAAAGTATAAATCATCAATCTCAGCAAAATATTTAAGACTGAAGAGGGATTCACCCTTTAGACTGAAGAATATTTGGAGAGTATCACAAAATACATAAGGTCCTCCACTATAATTTTTGGTGATGGGCTAGGGATTTAGCTCAACAGCACAGCGCCTGCCTGGCAAGAGCAAGGTTGCAAGTTAGATTCTCCATACCGGAAAAAAAAAACCAAACTAACAACAGCAACAAAAAAAGTATAACTTTTAGTGATAATTCAGTATACATTCTAGTGGACTGGGATGCTTAGAAATAAATGTGTCCCATTCTAGATAAAAAGTATCAATCATGTTGAAAAAGTATGAATTAATGCAATAAAGCTTCCTCAAGAGACAGCAGAAATACCAAAGTTTTGAAGTTTATCAGTTGTATTATAAATTGAAGCTCAGGTTGACAAATGTGCCCATTTTTCTTCTTATTTGGATAACTTCTTCCTATACAATTATATGAATTTGGAAAAGTATTTTTTAATACAATACTAATTTGTTTCCATTATAATACAATTATCAAAAAAGTAATGATTCTGGAAAGATACTGTATTAATTCTCAGGCATTTTTTGCATTAACTAATTTCCATCTCAAAACAGACTGATGAGGTTGATGTCATTATTTATAATTTAGAGGGGAAACTTGAGTGCAAGAATGAAAGGTAGATCTGCTTGGATTTTAAGTTTAATCTTTCCACTCTTTTCAGAGCACATCCACTGAATTATTATTTTTGAGGAAGAACTTGAGAGGTCAGATGTCTGTCTACTTCTTTCATGTCACAAGATTTCATTATAAAGAATAACTCACTACAAATCACATTCTTCTCCAAAAAGCAGAGCTAACTCCAAATTATGGTGAGTAAATCAAGTATAATTGCTGGTTTGCTTTTCATGGAACAAATACAAAGTTCTGTTTGATATTTTTCCGTCCTCTTTGTTTCACAGATGTTAAAATTTTATAATAATATTTCAGAATCATAGATTCATACTTATATTTTAATATATTTTATTCGGTTTAGTAAACTGTAGCATAGTCAGTGTAAATTGTATTTTCATCCTTCTAGTTTTATTTTTCCTCTTTTGATTAGAGCAAGACAATTCAAAGAAGAAAATGTATGTATTATATATGTTCACAAATGGGCAAATGTCTGTATTTTTTATCCCTCAAAATAATTTACCTAAATTTCTCTATTCTCCAGAAAGCCATCTTCTACTCTACTTCCAGTTTGTACCTGTAAATAGTAATAATTAGCTTCTTTATACAGCAACCTTATAAAACTCAGCAGAAGTATAAGTTAAAACACCACAAAAAAATCATCAATTAATAAATGAGTAGAAGAATAAATTTCTGTGGATAAAATTAAAAACTGAATAGATAAAAATGTGGAGGATGCAAGTTAGTCACTAACAGTGTGCTTGTTTCCTCTCAGTATTATTGTTTATTTTATAATGATTATGCAAAATAATGCCGATATGGAAACCTTGGTGACAGGTACACATAATTTTATTTTTTGTATTTTGATGTAGTGTTTAAAAATATTTCAAACTAAAAAGGGTTTGTTTTCAATATTAATATGGTTGAATTTGTAGCTCAGCTGAAATCAGAATCCTTACTCCTGGGATGGCTGTCCACATGTTAGGAAATTAGATTAATGGATCACTATAATGTTCCTGATATTCAGCATATATATCTGTTTGTGAAAGGAAAATCTTCCCTATAAATTCTGTCATTACTGAGTCAGATGCAGGAGAGACCTTATACACCTGAATAATTACCTAATTAATTAGGGGGAAATTGAGACATGTAGACAATTATTTAAGTAATCTTTTCTTGTGCTTAATTCTTGAAAGTAACCAACTGGTCTAGAATATCTTACAGAAATCTTTTTAGAAGTACAGCATAATACTGTTTCTTTAAGTTCTTCAATTCTTGTTTCATCTGTCTGCATCTGACATAAACCTAAATATGTTAAACTAATTCCTACTGAGAGACCATCAAAAGGATTCTAATTTGTTATTCTTTCTGAAATCTTTTTATCTACATCAATGCCAAGAACGAGAGTCCTTAGAAGGACCACAGGAGAACATACATATGAAGACACTATAAAGCAAAATGCACATTAGGACCCAGAAATTTATTTTGAGTCATTCAATCATTGATATACCCTAAATCTGCTTCTGAGTATGACAGAATGAAGAATTACGCTTTGTTAACATATGACAAGGTCTTGCAGGAGCTCAGTGAAACTAGGCAACCTGCAACATGCCTCCGTCACTTTTCTGTGGAAAGAGGGATAAAGATTCTGAAATTATCATGAAGATTAAATTGCATACTTATTTTTAATTGCCTAGGACAATTATTAGGACATATGAGGCACTTAATTACTAAGTGTTTCATTTTCCATCTTCCCTACAAAACACAGAAATTAAATTCTTTTTTAACAAAGGACTCCAAAGTTCCTTGGGAGAATGTGTTTGCCTGTTATTAAGGTCTGGTTTCTTGAAGACTTTGATTCATTTGGAAATAATTTCTTGAATAGTTTTGCACTGACTCTTGAAGGATTATTAATAGGAACCTGAAACCCTGAAGATAAAATAAATTGTGAATAGTCCATCAGAGAGTCCTTGTTAGTATAAGAGTACAGTAATGCATTATACCACCTGAGATTTTATTCCTCTGAATTGTTTTAAACTTAATGACTTCACTATATAACCAAACTCTACTAGACCATCTTAGCTTCTGATTATCTCAGTATGTGGTACAGTGCCTAGCACATAATACTGAGAAGAATGTTTGTGGAACGAATGAATGAATGAATGAATTTTTTTAACAGGAATCATGAAAAGTAATTGACAATATATTTCTTCTAATGCACCTTTAAAAATAGGTAAAAGTTCCTTTTAAAAATATATTGCACAGATTTACAGAAAATTTCAGAATAGCATTGACCAAGTCATCATTTAAACCTGTCTCTTTAAATTAATTAACTCCTATTTTCAGTGATTAATTTACACATGCACAAAGCTCATTATAGGCACTCATGCTAACAGTGTTTAAAGGAAAAAAGGAAAGTTATCAATAATTGTTTAAGTGACAAGTATATAAGAACTTAGGGATAAAACCAAACACTGGCTAGGGCCGTGTATTTTCCATGTGACAAACAGGGAACTATTACAACCCATCCATTCTTTCCCAAGATCTCCAATTTCTTAGTCTATTTTTATTATTTCTGATGCCACAGTTGCCCCACTTCCTGTGTAACACCAGCCGCTCAGTCTTCAAGAAGGACTTGTCCTGAAGATCTGCTCACCAACCTTCACTCTCTACTGCTTGTGGATCAAACCGTGCACCACAGCACCGAGTGGTTTTACCACAGGCATTGCTCCATGAGATTCACTCACCATAGAAACCCACACTTCACATTGGCCGTCACAAGTGCTGCCTTTGAGTTTTCTTAATCTAAATCCATGTCTGATCACCTGCATTCCTTCCCAAATATTCCGTTCTGCCTACTTTGATCACTCTTGTTCTCCCTTTATTGGATTGAAAGGTTAGTTCTTCTCTGAAATGTATTTTTGTTTCTTTTCTAACTGCCACATTCCACTATTAAAGGCTTGAGGGACATATATAAATACTGTTCAACTTTACCTGAGTTTGGAGATAGATCCGCGAGAGATAGATAAAGGGAGTAGGCAAATGGAGAACTTGAAATTTGCTAGGTAAGGGAATTATTTATATCAAATTAGACTCACTGAGTCATGGAAAGCACTGTGATGCCGGGGGAAATAAAGATAAGTAAATTATTTGTATTTTATTACATTTCTGGACGGCGAAGTCCAATCAAACAAAGCAGTAGCACACCTACACGCTAGGACAGGATGCCCGTGGTCAATAAGATGATATTATTTGACGCTAAGTTTGGCAGCTTTGGAGAGAATCTAGTTATGCTGAACTGAAACTATTTTCTTCTTTTTTAGACTTGTATAAAGACACCATATTTTCTTGACTCTTTTATTTCTTGACTTATGAACTGTGGGACATTTTTTCCCATAGGAGTAACGGGATGCCTGCAGATGTCCAATACTTTCCATGGCTCCTTGAATCTAATTCGACATTAGCAAACCCCTTGCCCAGCAGATATTAGGTTCTCCACTTCCATTTATTTCTTTCTGTGTTAACTACCTCTCCGTACTCCTGGAATGTAATACTGATCGAGCTGTAATCATATAACTCCTGGTCATTGCTCCTCTGAATCCCCTCCCTCGGGTAGTGACCACACAATAAATATTGACTGATTGATTAATTGAACCTAATACCTCTGAATCTAGAAACATGCTAAGGAATCTGGTCTACTATCAGTGATAATTATTGTCATTAGGTATGCAGCTTTCTAACAGAAAGTCCGGAAAGGGAAAATTCCTGTCAGCCATCCACTGGTTTAATAACCCTTATATTTTAGGCTTAATCCTAAACCACTCCCAATATTTTAAATCGGCTCTTCCTCTCTCTGACCAGTATATAGAAAACAGATGGCTGCCTGCCTCTCTTTGTGTCCCTTCTGTCACCCAAAGGCCATCAGGAGGCCAGGGCTCTTTGCTTTCTTCAGGTTAAATAATTCTGCCATTTTAGCACTTCCGGATGTTCCGAGTGCCCATCCCCCAAATCTAGTCCAGCACTATATTTGTGGCCTTATCCAATAAAATCTTCTGACACAACAGAAATGTTCTATATCTTCCCTGTCCAGTACAAGAACTCCTAGTCACATGTGGCTAATGAATACTTGAAATATGAGAAAATGAGGAGGTGAATATTTAAATTGAGGTTCATAGTCAATAGTTAAAATGTAAATATCCACATGTGTTTAGTGTCTATCAGATTAGTACAACTCAATTAGAAGCTATGAAATATCCTATGCACTACTAGGTCAAAGCACATTTCATTTACTTGCAGACTACCCGTATTACATATGACTCAGAACATTACTTTTATAATTTGTGGAGAAAAGTTACATCATAATATTTAAAACAAGTTTTAGGATCAGGGATATAGCTCAATGGCACCAGTTCCTGCCTGGTAAGCTCAAGGTCCTGAGTTTAATTTCTGGTCCCTCCTCCCAAAAATAATAATAATATTTAAGACAAGTTTTAAACCTAGTTTGTCTTAAACCTGACTTCAGCTATCAAATTAATCAGTCATAGGAAAGTCTTTTCTGTGGAAGCAGCTAGAACTCAAAATCTTTTTTTTTTTTTTGGTACCGGGAATTGAACTCATGACCTCAGGCTTGCCAGGCAAGAACTTATGCTGCTGAGCTATATCCTCAACCCTTAGAACTCAAAATCTTGATTTTTTTTAATATGATAGATTTATGGTAACAATTATAATTTTCTTCATATATAATACTTGACATCTTTCTGAGAGAAGGAAAAAAAATATATACATATATACCAATTTGATTTTCCCAACTTTTTAAGGTAAATGCCATTCAGATTAGATTTTCCTCCAGCACCATTTAATAATGCCATGATTATATTTTTAACCCTGATGGCACCCTTTGGTTTTACGCTTATTTTGAGAAGTCAAGGTGAGAGGTGGGCATTACTTAGGGACAGCTGGAGGCATTTAAAACTCAACTCCTCATTTCTGGGTCATGGCTATATCGTGATATCCACTGTGCTTACAGACTGAAAGAACTCTGTTTAGTAAATATGTAAGCGAAATCTCTGCTGAACTTACGTATGCAACACATTTCCATGATTTCATATTCCTATATTGTAATTTGCTTCTGATATAGGAAAAGAAAATGAGTATGTTCATTTTTTTTATCATGTGAGAAATGTTTCGATTTAGGAGATGA